GTCAAGCGCTTATCCTACTGAGCCATCTCCCCGGCCTTTTGTGGCTTTTTTAATTTCTCTGTTGCGCAGACATGCACAAGACCCTGAGTGGGTGCCAGGCACTGAGGTATCTAAGGGATAGGACAATGAGGTCCCAAGGATCCTGCTACCAGCAAACCACCCTTTCAAGTACTGGTGGTGCCCAGGCCAGGTGCTTCTCATATGGCCAATGTAAATACACATTGATGTAAAGAAACCTGAGATTCTGGAGTTGTCAGTGAGCCTGGACCAGAAGCGTCAGTGTGTATCCCCTGTTCAAAGCCTTCCTCTTCCCTCAGCACAGAGAAGAGGCCTGCCAGAAATCACTCCAGCCTGCAGCCCCCAGCACCCTGGTCTGTCTCCTTAACAGTGGGGAAGATTGGTGCATCCATCCCCCAGCTGCAGCTGGGGGTGTCCCCTGGCTCTAGAATCCCTAGGGCTGGGGTCAAAGCTCTGGTAGCTTCCAGAAACAATAGGTAACGCTTAAATCTGCTTTGCACCTCCCAGCCTGTGAGGGGCTCCCAGGCAGGGGCAGGACCTGCACTGTTTGCTCTGTCCACATTTATGGCCTTATTCCTGCGGGGTGGAGCCTGCCCCTACTCTGCTCCCTGACCTGCTGCTACCCCACAGCCCCAGTTGTGCATGCACCACAGATTCTGTGAGCCGCCCATCGCCACGGTTGCTGCTTCTGTGCTCCTGCTGCTCAGGGCTTGCTTCCCCAGAAAAGTCAGAGCCAGCTGAGGCCACCAACTGCTGCAGCCATGGTAAGAGGCCCATGGTGTGGCCAGGCCAAGCCTGAGAGTCGGGTGTGGGGGGCCGGTGTGGAGCCATAGGGAAGGTGTGGGCCTCTTGATGTGGGCTTAAGGCTTGGGGGAGGTGTGAGATGTGTGGGACAGGATGGCCTGGGCTGGACCTCATGCCTTTGTGGGGGAGCTCTCTGTGCCTCAGTTTTGGCTGCTGAGAATGGGAAAATCACTTATGTCATGCCATTACCGTGAGGCCTAAATAGGGTAGACACAGAGTGGTCATTTGCTAATGGGTGGGAGCCTCATCTCCCGTACTCCGTGTGTGGACCAGAACCAGCACTGGCCTGGGGGCTCCGACCTGAACCCATCCCTGCTGGATGGGCTTGGAGGGAAAGCTGAGCACTGGTCAGTCCTTCTTGGGCCACCATGGCCAATTCATGAAGCCCTCTCCTGGTCACTCTACTCAATTACAGTGCCCCTGTCCACAGCACGGCCCCCCAGAGCAGGGACTTCAAGTCTGTCCAGGTCTCGGCCTCCATCCTTGACCTCATCTGTCTCCATGTCTTCTGCCCACTGAGCAGGAGACATCAAGGGAGATGAGAACAGGAGGTCCTGGATGTGGGCTCTAGACCCTCTCGTGATGAGTGATCTTCCTGTTGCCCTGACCCACCATGGAGTAGGGCGAAAAAGCCCAAGGCTCAGTGTGGTAGCCTCAGCCTCTCTCTCTAAAAAAGGGTAGGGTGGGTGTGGCAGGACAGGGCCTGGAATGAGGACAGCAGCCCGAAGCTGCCTGTGTACAAGCTGAGGCCTGGCTGCTTTCCCTGCACAGGTCCATGGGCAAAAAGGGTTCCAGTTCCAAAACTGGGCAAGAACCTATGGCTGCTGCCCCGAGATGTACTATCAGCCAGCTTCGGTGGAGGAGGTCCGAGAGGTGAGTGTCAGCTACAGGACACCCAGGGACTGCCCTGGCTCCAGGAGGAGGTTGGAGATAGGACCCTAGCCTGGATTCCGTTCATAGCTCAGAACTGCTACCTGGATTCAGCTCCGTGATTCAGATCAGTGGTGTCCACCTGCAGCTGCTACAACTTCCCACATCCACTCCAGTCTGCCATCCTGGGCCAGCAACCGCCACCTGTGCACGCACGGACACACACACACACACACACGAACACACACACGAACACCACATGTGCACATGCATAGGAGTGGGTTTTACCCTCCGGTCCCTGGAAGGCTTTGCATTGGTGAAGACTGTGGCAAAGGCTGTGATTGGGTTTGCATTTGAAAGTGTAGAGCTGCGGCGAGGTAGGTAAACCAGAGCCACACACGCAGCACAATAGGAGATTCCTTGGTCTTCTGTACTGGCCCACTTTCAAGCCCACCTCTCTCGGGCTCTTTCCCGGGAGGCCTGATGCCTCGGTGAGCCGCCAGCGCCCCCTGCAGCTAGGCCGGGCCCCTGCACGTGCTCTGGCCACCCGGGAAAAGGCTTGACTCAGGTTATCCGCTCACAGGTGCTGGCCCTGGCCAGGCAGCAGAACAAGCGCGTGAAGGTGGTGGGCGGAGGCCACTCCCCCTCGGACATCGCCTGCACCGAGGGCTTCATGATCCACATGGGCAAGATGAACCGGGTCCTCCAGGTACTGCACCCTGCCACCTGCCCTGGAGCCCCAGAGTGGCACCCTCCGCGGTGGCCTGACCCTCAGCACCCATACCCGAGCCCTGCCCACGCTTGCTCACACCTCCAGTAGCCCCCTCCTCCAGAGCCTCCTCTCCACCATCTCCCCCACCCCACTGTGTACAACAGAAGTGGTGAATCAGGCCCTCCAAAGGTAGACTCACAATGACACAGCTAGATGTGAGCCGAGTGGCACTTGGCCAGCTTTACAGATGGAGAAACATAGGGTCAGAGAGTCAATAACTTGCCTGGCATCATGCAGCCAAGCCGACGCCAGAGCTATGCAGGGACGGATGCAGTCCGCGCAATTCAGCAAGCGCAAGATGCCGCAGCGACCCAGAGCCCAGGACAGATGCTCCTCGTGTCGGGTCTCCGTCTCTTCTGGGGCGCTGCACTGAGCCATCTTTTCCCAGATGTGCGCCCCTCCCCTAGGGCACGACCAAGGGTCTGGGTTTCTCTCTATGATTTCCTTCACAGGCTGACCTGTTCACCTCTTAGAGAACATCAGTCATGGCCCTGATCACATCTGATTGCTAATTAGCATGACTGGGCTCTGTGGTTGATTTTCCTGAGCTCTGGGCTCAGGGTCCCTGAGTGAGCTACGCTCTGCAGGCAGGCAGGTGTGGTTCTCGGCTCATTTCTGCCACTGCTGTTTGTGTAACTTTGAGCAAGTCACCTCCAGGCCCCGATCCTGCTCTGACCCTGTGAAGGGCAGAGACTTCCTGCACCCCAGGGTTGTTCCTACCACCTCAGGAAGCAGCACCCTGTCCCCACAGCAGTCACCAGACCGATGTCCCACGTTTCTCCTTCCCCTCCCAAGTTTTACTCTTCGCCCAGGGCTTCCCAGGGGAGAAATAGAGGTGGGAGCTTCGAGAGAGGAGGCCCTCTCTGGCCAGGCCCTCAGCACAGCCACAGGAAGGAGCCTCACAGAGGGCCCCACCAGCCCAGTGCAAGGGGATGGAGGTACAAGCATTAGGGCTGGGCAGTGCCCTGGCTCCTCCCAGCCTGCGCTGGTCTCCTGCAGGTGGACAAGGAGAAGAAGCAGGTGACGGTGGAGGCTGGCATCCTACTGGCTGAGCTGCACCCGCAGCTGGACAGGCATGGCCTGGCCCTGTCCAAGTAAGAGACCTCACCCCTGGGGAGCACTTCTTAGGATGCACCCATGTCTCTAGGCCCTGCAGCCCTCCCCAGGAGCCTCTCTCCTCTTCCACACAGGTTTGGGGCTCTTGAGTGGAAATAGAAAAGGACCAAAGTTGAGATAAGTGATAAATAAATCTTGAACATGGCTGAGACGTTCATGGATTACGTCTTTCCATCAACAACAACAAAAAAGCAATAAACAGGGAGCAGAGCAAAACACAAAAGCACACAGATTAAGTACAGAGAGGAACATAAGAACATGATGAGGCCCAGGGCCCCTGGCAGATCTCTCTAGGGAGAGGTGGTGAGGGGGAGCCCTCACCTCAGGGACAGGGACCAGAAGAAAGAGAAGAGTGCTTTTGTGTTTTGTTCTTCCATCACCAGGCGTAAGATGAAGGAATTTTCCCTGATGCAAAAGTCAAATGCAGCTAAAGGAATGAATCTCTAATGCTAAACTCCAGCTATTGGAAAGAGGTGACAGGTGTTGTAGACACTGGCTCAGCAATGACGTTATAGCTAGAAGTGGAAGCCTGCGATTGGTCTTCAAGGGCAGGTGGTCTGCTCACCTCAGCTGTCTCATCACAGGCTTGAGCTATCTATCCCACAATGCTTTGCAGTCTGGAAACCACCTGTTTCTACCTTTCTTTCTAAGAGTCGTGGTGCTCAGATACTTAGAGTATCCTTCCTGTGCAGGCTGGAGTCAAGGCCTGGAAAGACATAGACAAATAAAACCCAGACCACACTGGGAAGGAAGTCCCCACAGGGGACGACAGACACAGAAACTGACCAGCATGGCACAAGTAGTAGGTTCTTCATCAAACCAGGGTGCAGGGTGCCCCAGGTTCAGCCATGGCAGATGGAAGTACACAAGGGGATAGGAATCAGGAAGGGAGGGGGACTCCAAGCAGATGGAGCAGCAAGAGCCAAAGCCCAAGTGGGAACAGAGAGCGGTGGCAGGGAGGAAGTATTTATTAACTGCAGGCTCTGGCTTTGGACCCTGAAGCTCTGTCCCTGTGCAGGACTGTGATGTCTCTGTCCTGCCTGCAGGACAGGAAGCACAACCCCATTAGCAGATGAGGAAACTGAGGGTGAGGCAGAGGGGCCACCCCAAGTCATACCGTTTGGTGCTGTGTGGGTGCCGGATGAGGTGGGCACCAGGGCCATGCCTAGGAGGGGGCAGAGATCCAGAAAGGCAGCTTGGGTGTGAATCCTGCTTTGACCTCAAAGTGACCGCAGGTGAATTCTTGGGTCCCTTGCGCAGAGTCCTGTCTGAAAGATGGGACTGTAGGTTGGAGCCCAGGAGGCCTCTTGTTAAGTCACCAGTGAGGACCCACTCCATCCTTCTCAAACTTGCACCTCACCCTTGCCTTCACTGTCCTTGCTACCCTCTCTTCTTTCTCCTGGTCCCTGTCCCTGAGGTGAGGGCTCCCTCTCACCACCTCTCCCAGACTGTCCTGAGCACACTTCATTCCCCTCTGCAGCTGCCTTGTACTTCACAGCTAGAAAAGCAGCATTATGCTGGATCAACCATCCCCATTTGCAGGCATGTGGGTGATTATAAATAACGCAGTGGTGAACATCTTCATCAAAGTCACTGCACATGCACTGGAATATCACTGAGGGCAGAATTTCTATGATGCTCTTTTTCTTTAGGGGAGCAGGACTAGAGGTTGATCCCAGGGACTTCACACCGATCTGTGTAAAAAAAAAAAAAAAAATTTTTTTTTTAATTTTGAGACAGGGTCTCATTAAGTCACTAGGTTACTGAGGCTGAGTTCAAACTTGTAACCCTCTCTACCTTAGCCTTCCAGAGTCCACAGAGAGAGAGGCATGCACCCCCACTATGGCCCGCTTATGATTCCTTTTTAACATTCTAGAATTTGCATAAGGGACAGAAATCACTCACTATCCCAGTTACCAGAGGCAGACAGGAAGAAGAGGACAGGGCAGACGTTGCTTGCCGTCCGTGGTGGCTCCCAGATCTCCACATCTGTCCCTAGCAAGGGGTGAGGCCAGATTTTCTGCATGTTACCAAACAAACACCAAGCAGTACACACTTTGGCATCTTCCACTGCCCTGAAGGACCAGGAGCAGGACAGGCCCCACCATCACTCTCCACCTGGGAGACCGGGCCAGTCTCTTCTACAGGGAAATGTGGGGGCTGGGATTTCAGGGAGCCCTCTGGGGTGCCCCTGTGAGTATCTGTGATCTGTGCCCTTCTCCCTTAAGCTGAGGCAATGA